ATTCCTACTTGAAATAAATAAATTGCGCGAAATATTTAGTTCGGTGTCAAATATTTAGATCGGTAATCATTAACAGCGTTAATAAATAATTTATGAATTATTTACCGCATATCGTTGGTCTGTCCGTCGTCCAAACTTTCTTTCTCAATCTTGCTCATCTTTTGTTGTTTCCTCGTGGCACTCACACTCACTCACGAAAACACGACTAATTATGACTAGTCGTATAAATATGCGATGGCGAAACACTTTGCACGACACTCCCGATCATGGAAGAATCACACAAGATATGCACTTTATTATATCATAAGAAAGAGCAACACGAAAAGTATGATTCGCTCGACGATTACACGAAGCCAAAATCATGCACTACTCGACAGCAATACTCTCTCTGTTGTTATATTGTATGTAGATATAGTATACGCACAATAATATGAATCGTAAATCAAAAGATTAAAGTAATAAAAAATCGTTATATAGCAATCGTTTAATTAATAATTAATTTATGCTTGCATTTTAGACAAATTTGAAGTATAGGAATATATTTAACTCACAATCAAAGCATTGTTAGTTAAAATAAGGATCGATAATCGAAGAACATCGTAACAAAATTTATAATTTTTATTCTATTGCTTCAATTTTTACTTGTAAATGAATGATCGCGTTAATTTTTATTCTATTGCTTTAATTTTTACTTGTAAATGAATGATCGCGTTAGGATAAGATTTATTGTCGCAATACAATTTCGTATCATTTATCAAAAATTAATTAATCGTTAATTGTAATTATCATAGCGAATTATGTTCCGATAGTAATCACGATCGCATTTAGGAACAGAATTCAATAATATACGAAGCGTTTCCTATCTCATTGCTCAAGTGTCGCCATGCGAATAATAACAATACGTAATCAATAAACAGAAAACGTAAACAATAGCGCGTTATATTCGGCCGAAAAGACCGAATTCCAATTCCCAATTCTATTCATAATTCGTTGCAGAAATATTTTACGTACTATAACATATATATACGCGAAATATTAAGTTATACAAATATTTTAAATTATAAAAGAATTATTTATTAAACGAGTGATATGTATTACGGAGCCTTTCGTTATGCTAACTACTCGATTCTGCGATTCGATTGTTTTACTGCGTGTTCTCAATACAAATCATATTTTGATCGTCGAAAAGTCGAACGATAAAGCATTGGACGAAATATTTTTAACTTTAAATATTGATAGAAAATTAATTATTGCTCATAAAGACCGTAATAAAATAGCAATTTATAATTTTTATTCCTGTCACTTCGATTCTTATAATTAGTTGATAAAATATGCGCGTCAAGATCTATCGTTGCGATATAGTTATGTATTATTTAATGTATATAAAAAATAATTAATGATTTATTATATCAAATTATTTCCCGATACTTGTCACGATCGCGTTTCGCATTTGACGGAGCGTCTCGCGCTATTACATTACTGTTCGAGTGTCGCCGTGTGAATGATAAGGCCGTAAGTCATAACACGTTAACAATAGCGTGCTAATGTTTACGCCGTCAATGCCGAATGTTATTGACAATTTGCTGCCGAAATATTTTCCATACTATGACGTATATATAAGCGAAATATTATATTATACAAATTTTAAATTCTAGATCGATTATTTAATAAACGATTATATCACGAATATATCACGGAGCTTATCGTTATGTTAATTACTCGGACCTGCAATTCGACTTTATTGCGCGTTCTCAATCCAAATCATATTTAGATCTTCGAAAAGTCGAACGAAAAGACATCGGACGAAATATATTTAATTTGAAGTATTCTTAAATAATTGTTGCCTAGAGAGTAAAAGAAAGAGAGTGAATTAATTATTAATTATATCAAATTATTTCCCGATACTTGTCGCGATCGCGTTTAGAAAAGAAATTTGACGAAGCGTCTCGCACCACTACATTACTGTTCGAGTGTCGCCGTGCGAATGATAAAGCCATAAGTCGTAACACGTAAACAGCTAATGTTTATGCCGCCAAGGCCGAATACCATATTATTGATAATTCGCAGCCGAAAATATTTTGCGTACTATGACGTATATGTATACAAGCGGAATATTAAATGATACAAATATTTTAAATTATAGATCAATTATTTAATAAGCAATTAATATATCACAGAGCTTATCGTTATGTTAATTACTCGATCCTGCGGTTTTATTGTTTAATTGCGTGCTCTCAATCCAAATTATATTTAAATAATCAAAAAATCGTACGATAAAGCATGGGACAAAATATCTTTACTTTGAGTATCGATAAAAAAATAGTTATTGTTCGTAAGAATCGAAATACAACACGATAATTTATAATTTAGATTTCTGCCAGTTCGATTCTTACTTTAAGAAAGATTACTTACTTGTATTTTATCGGTTTGAGAATAATTTTAATGGATTAATAAGATTTTTGCGATTAAAATGACATCAAATACAACACAAATCGGATAATTTTTAATTAAATTAATAATAAAAATATTGATTACATATTTAACTAGAAATTATCCGGTTTATGTCGTGTCTGGTATCATTTTAATTGCAGAAAATCATTAATCCATTAAAATTATTTCCAAACAAATAAAATGCAAAATATAAAAGTTTTATTTTCTATGGTAATATGACACATATATGTATACTCGTGAAATACTATATAATAAAGGAATAAGCCCCTCTTTCTCTCGCATGTAAGAGACTTCGAAACTCTTCGACGATACGGTATTTCGCTTGCTCTTTACTTGTTCTCGCTCTCGCTTTCGAATTTATTTATAATATTCAAAAATCATATGTAATAAAAATTGAAACATTTGTTTTATTTTAGAAAGTAATTTTTTGAAAATAATTTTAATGATTTTTAATTAAAATGACATCGAAAACACGATATAATTCGGATAATTTTTACTTATTGTTAGATAAGGAAAAAAATATTTTATCCAACTTTTAAATTTATATCTAATTGAAATTTATCCGAATAATGTCGTGTTTTTTTATACCATTTCATTGGTAAAAATCTTATTAATCAAGTAAAATTACGTTTATAAGTATAAAACAACGATATATGTCAAGCTCCGATAATAGTAATCATAAAATTGAAAAGGCGATGAGAGCCAGCGCAGTCGTTAGCGCGCAACACAAAAAGATTTATATTATATATATAATTGCTTAAAATGCTTGATAATTTTATTTTAAGAATAAAAAAGAAGTAAAAGTAATTTATTGTAAATATCTTCTCGTACATGTTATATATTTAAAAATTAGAAAAAATATTCTTGAGAAAATTTATTTTGTCACATGCGCATATACATAAAAATACTTCAATTATAATTTATTATCGCTGTAGTATATACTAGAATGACAAGACGTCATGCGCAGCTAATAAAACATTAATGAATCCATAATATTTCTCCGCATTTCTGATTCACAATGTATTTAGCACGGACATATACCAACCGGTCGTTTTACCATGGCACCAAAAAGTGGATCTGGCCATGTAGTTCTGCCGGCTCGCAAATGGATCTAGTTGACGCTACTGTACCAGCTAGAAAAAGTATCTTATGAAAAACGGCGTCCCTCTCAGGCTTCTAGGTGCCTTTACATGGCAGCGTCAAGCGTCGAGCGTCTTCGTAGAAAATTGCGCAGAATCTAATTTCAGCCTAGAATCTATCTCTTTTAAATTCTGCGCATTTTTCTGCGCAGACGCTCGACGCTTAATGCTGCCATGTAAAGGCACCTTCTCTCTGCTACAAGTAGCATTTTTGAATTCTTATAGATGCAAGACGCCATCTATATTCATTTAAATACGATAATTTATGTGCAAAATGCATACAAAATTATCTTTTTCTGCAATATGATATAAACTATATCTATAAAATATAAGACTATTATATTTTTGCGAAATAAATACAAAGACTACTTTTTCTCTTTATTATTATGATATTTTTGATTGCTCACAGCACATATATATACAAAAAGTTGTTAGCACATTGATCATATTTCTAATCATTTTCTGAATCACTACCCTCATCACTTTCGTCTTCCAATTCCGGCATAGGAAAACGTAATAAAGCTGCTATTCCAGTTAATTGATCTAATTCTGCAAACAAAATCGTGCTTTAATATGTTAAAACGCGATAAATATATATTTTACACAAAAGAACTTATTGGAAATTTTATATCTCATATGTATGTGTGTGCATTTGGTGAATATCGTTTGTATATCAAACTTACGTTCACCCGAGACATGCAGACTTGAAAATATTTTGACATCGCCACCAGAATCTTTCACATTTTCAACTAGTTCCACATATTCCTTTCTCAATGCAATATCCTGACACCTGGATAAGACAAGTAGAGACATATAGCAAAATATATTATAGAGTAAAATTAATTGGATTTAAACACTAACATAAATAATAAAGAAGTAAAACTCTAACCTGAATAATTTATCTGATATAAGTAGAGTTTCCACTGCTTGAGCAGCATTCGCTTTCTCAATATGTTTCTTGCCGTAAAATGCTCTGGCAGGATCCATTTGTAGAGTGGTATAAAATGTTTCTAGAGCTCTTACTTCTCCCGCTGCTTTGGTATCAGAGATTCGAGAAACTACAGCAGGATCAGCCAGAACCTCTGTTACAATAACAAAGATATAGTAATAACATAAAAACAATTGTATCATGCAAGTGTTATACTTGCTCATGTTTCGCATGGATACATATATATTACCTCTTAATGAATGTTTAAAACCTGAACTAGCGTGAACTAGCAGGAATTTACTTTTATTCTCTAAGATAACTTTATTATCAAATTTAACAGCTTGTTGTATCATGTAGTCCATAAATTGATCTTTCACAAAACCAGGGCTGGCAAGGATAACACATTTTACTAGATCGAAATTGATGTGTCTTAATATACCTTGCATAATGCTCTCGTAAAATCGTGCCAAGCCCTAAATATACATAAAGTTAAAATTCTATTCATGTTTCTAGTACATAACATTTATAATTCTGATATAATATTTCTCGCAAACCTTTTCATGTTGTGAAACATTTCCTTTCCTTTTTCTTGGTATAACTTGATCAATTTTTGCACGAACTATTGTCATGTTGGATGTTATTAGACAAATATGCGCTATACCTTCTTGCATAATTGCAGCAGCTACGTCAGCATTCTGATATAAAATAAAAAGAATAGTTACAACAAATTATACAATCTCACTATTCCTTCCTCTTTTCAAATTATTAACCTGAGCAGGATCGCACGCAGTGTCAACTCTATCCAAAGAAATAGAATCCCATTTAGCTTTAGCAATAGTACACTTTCGATTTTGTTCAACATCCAATGTGTGATATGCTCCCATCTATACAAAATAAAAATCAGATGATTACATATCAAAATCTTTTACTAATTTAGCAATTTATTCCTATTTAAAGTAGTAATTCATATTATGCCAAATGTGCATATATGTAATGTATACATTGATAGGTATACATAAAAATTAATGTATACATTAAAATCAGTAAGGTTTTGCAATGAATCATCCTATTGCTTGGATGATATAAAATACATTTAAACAAGTTAGTTTTTCTGACTACACGTATGGTAAAATTAACAAGTGTTTAAATTAAACATATGGAAACAATTGTATATATATTATTTCACAATCAATTATCTGCATAGAAAGATTCACTAAAAAACCTTACAAACTCATGTACTCTAATAATATATGACAACTAAGAATAAAATATTCACAAACAAAAACACTCTAAATACTATCATTAAATATTCTACCTTAACATATTTATTTTCTTCCACATTTCTACCTTTAAGTCTTAGAACACATGCTTGTGTATCAAAATCGATATTTTCTACACTTATTGTAAGAGTAGTTCTAACTCTATAACTGTTAGAACTGCCAGTTGCAGATTCCATTTGCACTTTCCTATGTTGAACACAGAGAATTGATATTATTGACAAATTCTAATTTATCATACAATTGCTGGAAAACAAAAACTTTAGCATACCTAAAAGTAGAACAACTAACTAAGTCTCCTTCACTAATTATGTTATAGGCATGCCACATATCCTCTGTATTTTCAGGAACAAGAGCCACGCTCCTAAAAATCCATTAATTCTAACATTAGAATTTTAAAATATTGATATTTATAATATATTACATATATTATATAAAAAATACATTTACCCTTTTCCATCCTTATCTACATTCCTTGATACTAGCTTCATTTTGAAATATTTTTTGTGTCTTATCTGAAATATACAAAAAAAATAAAATGTATTTAAAATATATAAATGTATATAAGATATTTATTACATCATTATATCACCATTACATCATTACATATCGAACTTACAAATTACATCTTATTAATTACGCTTATCTCTTCATAAGAAGTTCTATTTCTATATTTAAAAAAAACTAATATTTGCAAAATACCTGATATATATTATTTTTATTATAGCAAAATAAACAATGTAATTATTTTATAGGAAAAGATAAAGGTTTATATAGGTTAAACACATAATGGCTTATTTGAAAATATATATAAGGATCCAATAAAGTATTTTATAGATTTACCTTATATTTATTGCACTATTATATTAGGAACATTATCCAATTCATGTTTTCGTCTTATTTGAAATGTTGCACAGTAAATAATGCCATATGTCAAACATGATACCTGTCGCTTTTTGATCGGCGATTTCAACGATTGCGGCGTGATTGGTTAACCTCAAAATAATCTCGAAAATGTTTCACAGATGGCACTTTATTTAAATATATATTTCACAAAGTATATGGAAGCGTGTGCTAGTGATTGCACAACTGAACATCGATTGCTAACGTGAAATTCATAAAGATATATATATATAAACTTTGTAAAATATTTTAAATTTTTTATTTTAAATATAATCTTAAATTGTATTTAAATAATAATGTATTGTTTTTATTTCTTTACACATCTTATTTATAATAATAAATAATACAAATATATATTATTAGCTTATATATATTTATATCAAATCATGTAACAGTTTTTAAGTCCATTTAAATAATACATAGATTAATATAGTCTTGTAACAGTCATATATTAATATTAATTATTAATACACACAATTTTTAAATCGTCAATATTTGCTTTGGGAGTATAAAGTTACACCAATCCATAGTGCACAGATTACCTTTGTTTCTCTCAAATAGGTTTAATATTATATATAAATTAAAAAATAAAATTTAACAATAGAAAATTGTATGCAATACTAGTCTCTTTAATAACTTTTTATGAAAAAATATATAAAAGAAAAATTAACATGGATTAAATTGACTCAATGAAAATCATACTAAACGAGTTAATGTTACTCTTATAATAAGTTTAGATTAACTAAACTTTACAACCTTATTTAAACATCTTTGATAATTTCTCTTTTTGTGCACTGTTTTTCTCTTTAATAGCTGTTGTAAATATTTGTAATTCTTTTACAACAGTGTTGTGTAAAGAAGGATCAATTTCAGCAGCTCTCTTTAAATCTTCAATAGCATTTTTTTCGTCCCATACAGCAATATATGCTTTACCTCTTCGATAGAGTGCTTTCACATTATCTGTAAATTAAAAATAAATTTCTTCTATCAGACATATATGATTTGTATACAACTGATTCCATAAATAAGTCTATTACCTGGTTCTGTTTTTAAAACTGTTGAGCAATGTTCAATAACTGAATAATATTCCTTATCTAAAAGTTTACATTGTGCATAATTCAAAAGCAATGGTATCTTCATTTGATTCAAAGATAACCATTCTTCATCATTTGGTTTTTCACTGAAAATCCAATATTGATTTATATATAAAAATATCCTGTATAAATATATGACAAAATATTCTTTATTTTATGCCTTAATTAATTAAGTTTCATAAAGCATAATTCATTATAAGTAAAACTTACGCTAACATGAGTTGTTCCAACATTCCAATAGCTTTTGCATATGTTTCAGATGCACTGTTGTATTTTTTCTCTTTGAACAAAGCATTTCCCTTTTCCTTTAAATGCGGAATGTTTTTAAGCTTTTCATCTTCTGTCATTTGCCATGATTCTTTCTCATATTCATCTGGCAATATCGCTTGGATAAGTTCTATAAAATATAATAATTTTTATTGATTTTATAATATTCTACATCTAAATTAAAACAAGTGTCATCTTTATTTTTTTTTTTTTTAATTTTATACTTGTACCTATTGTAAATTCCAGATCTTGAGGATGTTTTATAAGTTCATTCAAATCGGCATAACCAACACCTTCATTCTGAAGAGTAACACCACAACAATGATGATTACGCTTCTCTGATCGAGGCTTATCAGCTTCTCTTAATGTTTTAGAAACAAAAGGATATGCAGTCACTAGCTAAAGCAAAATTTGTCATAAAAACATCCTCCAAAATATATGTTCTAAAGTAAGTATATATATTTATAACAATAAATATTGCATACATACACTTTTATGTATTTTAAAACAGGCAACTTCATTCAACATCATCTTTTGTACAATTGCTTCCCATACTTCCAACTTAAATTGTTTTCCTAATATGAGTTCCATTGGACTTCCAATCGTCCTACTGTCATCTATCAACGTTTTGTCAAAATCACATTTTGTAGTTTTGAAATGAAATATAACCTAGAGGTATATAACAATGGGAGTTATAAATAACTAGTATATTTGTACAATGTTTACAATAAGAAATACATACTTTTGTTCCAGGTATAAAATTAATAGTTTTTGTTCCAGCATGAACAACAGTTTTTACTATATACTCTTCGTCACTCATAATGGTGTATATATCTAGACAGAGTTAAGGGGATCCAAGTAGCAGAGTGACATTAGAAGACGTCAAATAAACGTATTTAATCGTTTCTCATATATGTATTAAAATTCTAAACATAACGCTTTTAAATTATCTTAAAAAATCAATTATTATATATATAAAACACACAGACTTTTATATATTATAAATTATATCTAAACTGCTACAGCGATGTTACAGACGAAGCTATCCAATTAGGTAGAATACATATACAGGGTGTTCCAAAATTAGACCGACAAACTTTAGGTGATTATAAAGGACATCAAAACAAGCCAATTTTGCCAATAAACCCATGTTCGCAAATGAGCCGTTTTGGCATTAGAGAATCAAAGATTAACAAGGGAATCTCGTGAATCCGAAAATTCTGATTTTGATAAAATTTTATGCACATATGGGAGAGGGGGGAGGTAAATAGATGAATTCATGGACGTAGAAAATATCTGGATGAAGCGTATTGCCGCGGGATTGATAACAAAGGGGAAAGGGGATTAAAAGTCTAGTATGACGGATATGAACAATCAAAATGGCGGGGCAGCCAATAATTGTACGGATTTCGGTCTATTGTAACGTCTTAAGGGCATTCTACAATGGCAGTAACAAGGCTGTAGAAGTAGGAGAGTCCAAGATCGTCTTAAGTGTGGTCTTGGGTCGTCTTAAGATCCCATTCAACCAATGAAATGGCCGCATAGTATCTTAAGATCGTACTTAAGACGATCTTGAATATAAGAACGGACTATGGCCGGTATTCATAGTCCTTTCTTATATCCAAGATCGTCTTAAGTGTGGTCTTGGGTCGTCTTAAGATCCCATTCAACCAATGAAATGGCCGCATAGTATCTTAAGATCGTACTTAAGACGATCTTGAATATAAGAACGGACTATGAATACCGGCCGTAGACGGGCCTTTAGGGAGACTTCACACCTTGGCAGAAAAGCAGAAAGCAGAAAAGGAGAGGCCAATCAGAACTCGCGTTAAGCCCGTTCTACATTGATCGCATGTCGCCAGTCGCAAGCAAATCGACCAATCACAGTCGAATATTCGACGGCATAATCGACTGTGATTGGTCGATTTGCTTGCGACTGGCGACATGCGATCAATATAGAACATGCTTTAGAAAAGCAGAATGTACTGCTTACTATCAGCGCGAGTTCTGATTGGCTTCTGCTTTACTAGCACGAATTCTGATTGGCTTCTGCTTTTCTGCCAAGGTGTGAATTTTCCCTTAACAGTTAAAATCACGTAAAATATTGAATAAATAAGATGGCCACATCGAGATTTCCCCTTACTCCTCAGTTTTTATACCCTGCGCCCGAAAATGTACCTTGTGCTCCGATATTTCTTACGTCCATGTGAAACACCGTGTTAGCAGTTTAGGTGTGTAGAGTGATATTCGATAGTCATTAAAATCGTTAGTCATTCCGAACAACTCACCAAAGACTTGCAAAGAATTTCATAAATTGTAAGGAGCTAAGAGGAGTAAAGATATATTTTTTTCAAAAGAGAAGAACTTTAAAAAGCTATTTGTCTGTGAGTTCCGAACCCCACAGTACAGAGATTGTAGATGACATTATAGATAAGCCTTTAAAAAAACGCAAAAAGTACACGCGAAAGTAGGCATTTCCGTTTCACGCATAATGTGCATGATGATTATTTATTCTTGTTCACCGAATGTTAAAGAATAAATGATATTATGCGCATCATGCATGAATCGGAAAGCATCCAGTGAAACGCCTGTATATTTATAGGAAAAGGAGAGACACACAAGAATAAAGGACGTATCTATAATATAGAATAGAAGTCTCAGTTTCATCGTTAAATTAAGGTAAATATAGGTAAATATCAAATCAATTTTTTTTTTTTTAAATATCTACTGTATTTATTTATATTTTTGTGTATATAGAGAAAATCAATTCGAAAATATTTCGTTCCACATATGCATAGAAAAATCAATCACTTACGTTTCTAACGAAAAAGATGCAAAATATAGTGCTGCATTTTTTTTACATTAAATACATGAATTCATATTTTTCTCTTGGAATGTGCTGTATTCAAATCCGTCTGAATCTATGGCTGTGTTTCAAAATTCACTGCCAATATTAGAAATTATAGTTCACGTATGTATATTATAGATTTCCCATACTAGCAGTGAATTTTGGAACACAGCCACTGAATCACTTGTTCCTCTCCCTTCCTACTCGAAATGAACAGCTGTTCTCCAGTAACGTACTCAAAGTACTCATTTCAAGGCAGTTATAAAAAAAGGTGTGTGTGTGTGTGTCTAATCCACCATTACTACTGTAAACTTTTTTTATTTGGTAAGGACGCGATGAATATCGTTATCGTACCCATCGTGTATATGAAATGAGAAACGGGGACATCATCTACGACCACAGTCTAAACTGGCAGCTTATTTCGATTAAGATAAAAGATATGCATTTCATTGGCGTTACAAAAATGCAAAAAAATGTTTGATTCGAAAAGATAAAGAAATCCGATTGATCAATCAAACGACTCGAAGGATTTGTAACGGTACTTTATATACATGGCATAGTTTATGATCTGAAATATTTACTTTTTTTTTTTTTTATTGAACACACACACATATACACACATACACATAGCCTAATGTATCTGTATAAAACTTGCATTTAAATGTAAAGAAGTTGACAGGATAAAAGAGAATATTTTTGAATAGATGAATAGATCCAGTATTTCTATGTCTTCACATAAGTAAAGATGTGTGAGTTTTAAAAGAAATGATGATGGAATCCTATCTATTATGCATACTTATTTAAAAATAAATTTGCTCTTGCAGTGTTATCTAATCTTTTGGCTGATATAATAACAACTATGATTTCTCTTTATAGATACATATTCTCACCGATGAAACGTGATCCATGGTTATTTTGAGCGAACATAAATTATAATTGTCAATTTTTACACACTGAAATGGATTCTACAAGGAAGAACTCTGTTAACAATGCTGTAAATGGATATAAAAAGGAAGGTAAGTTGTTAGGTGCTATTTTTCAATATCATGTACATATCTAGATTTTTACAATAATTTAATAACCTCTTACAGATGCCAAGGAGATTCAGATACCAATGCCATGGGGTCAGATCAGTGGTCAGTAAGGATTATATCTTAAGGGCCGTCTACAATGGCAGTAACAAGGCTGTAGGAGTGGAGAGTATACTGTTTTTAGTGATGTAAAGACCGAGAGTAACGAAATGGGCAAGTCTTAAAAGTTTTAAGAGCAAATAGGACTTGCCCATTTCGTTACTCTCGGTCTTTACATCACTAAAAACAGTATACTCTCCTACACCTACAGCCTTGTTACTGCCATTGTAGAATGCCCTTTATATTTCCCAATCTTATTTCAATATCAAACTATATTAACACATTGAACTTAAAACACTCAATTGAGTATTATGCAATGTGTGTAGAAACAAAATGATATATTTGGATTTGATTATTTGGATCTTTAAAACATATCTTGTAATATATAGTATTGTGGGATGTCCTAGCTTGTATCGTATTGCACTTCAAGTTTCGGTATACCAAATGCAATATATTGATAAATTTAGGAAAATGGTGGGGATCAACAGATGAGCAGCCTATAGTGGCGATACATGGCTGGCAAGACAATTCAGGAACTTTTGACAACTTGGCAGAATTGTTGCCATCAAACATAGCTATACTGAGTATAGATCTGCCTGGTCATGGTTTTTCTTCTCACCTACACTCTGGACAATTCTACTATGTATTTTGGGATGGGGTTATCACACTGCGTAGAATTATTAAATATTACAAGTGGAACAAGGTTAGCTAACAAATCAGTGCTACACAACGATTTTAAATTTTTATTTTTGTGGTTAAATATGTACATAAAAATAATATTGGGTAAATGATAGCATAGCTTTTATACAATTTAAATTCAATTGCTATTTAATTTATGAAGTATATGTAAAATATTTATATTTATTTTGCTATTGATTATGTAATACGCATATTTTACCTTGGATATTTGCATTTTTAAAGTGATACCTTAGCATTGAACTGCAACACATTATTAAATTCACTATTTAATATTCACATTGCATTATCACACACATTGCTCTAACTCCATCATAATTATTAATAATATATTTTAAAAAGGTTGACTGTTAAATACAATATGTATCCAAACTTAGAACTATTGTGCATGATTTAAATTATATATATATATATATATATATATATTTAATTATTTTTTTTAAATATACTATAAAAAGACTGTAGAAGGGAATATCGTTGTATAACTGTATTTGTATATCGTTGTATAATTAGGTTTTGTATTATGTTGAGTTCCTAGTATAAAGAACAAAAAAAAATAACTCTTTAAACTCAGCTATAATTTCGTTACATTTTCAAAAATTTTGCATGACTATATGATTTTTCTTTTCTAATTTAACTAATTGCTACAGATTTGTAAAAGAAAGATGCATATCTTGATAAAAAAATGTTATAAAGTAAAAGATAAATTCAGATTTAAAATTAATTTTCTTACCTGCAGGCAAATGGTGGGGCCCAAAAGAGCTCCAACCGATAGTGGCACTGCATGGTCGTCAGGATAATGCAGGCACTTTTGACACATTAATGCCATTGATGCCTGATGATATTTCTGTTCTTTGCTTGGATATGCCAGGGCATGGTTTATCTTCGCATTATCCAAAGAGTCAATTTTATTATGTCTATTATGATGGTGTCATATTCCTTCGTAAAGTCATTAAATATTTCAAATGGAATAAGGTTAGCGAATGGATGAATTAACCCACACTTTTGCACAATCAATCAATTTATTATTAATCAATTAAATAATTTGATATTAAAAAATCTATGCAACAATATCACATTTACATTTTTTCACAGTATTTCACATATCTAACAGTCACCCTTGCACTTGTATGGCATTTGTGTTGTGTTGCATTTAAGCATATGATAATGTTTTATATGAACATGAGAGCTTTTTTAATGTGAATATTTTAATATGTGTTTCTTAATATGCTTTAGAAAATATATATTTTATATATGTATGTTTTTATATGCTCTGAATTAATGTGTATAAGCTTATTGTAACTTAATAGTATTATAACAATAGGTAAAACTGCTTGGTCACTCGTTGGGTGGTGCTATATCATTTTTGTATGCAGCATCATATCCAGATGAAGTCGATATTCTCATAAGTTTGGATATTGCTAGCCCAAGTGTAAAGGACATTACAAAAACAGCTGCAATGACCGGAAACTATATTGACCAATTTTTAAAATATGAATCATTAACATTGGACAATGTACCGTGTTATGAGTACAACAAAATGATTGACATAGTGGAAAAGGCATATGAGGGTTCTATAACGAAGGAAGGAGCAGAAATATTAATGAAACGTGGCATGCAACCAGCATACACAAAGGGCAAATATTACTTTTCCCGTGACCCAAGACTAAAGGTAGAGGCATTCATTCATCACACAGTATATTATATAAATGCACAGTATGTTATACAAATAGACTAAGATGTTCATATGATTCTATGTATGTGTATATATATATAAAATATCATGCAATTAAAATATTTATATTACTTTTCTAGGTTGCCATTTTAGGCATGTTCTCTCTAGATTTAGTACTTGAATATGCATCCTGTATAAAATGTGCTTATCTCAACATTCGTGCTGTTCCTGGGATGAAGTTTGAGCAACCCGAAAACTATCAGAAAGTATTAGATAATATAAAATTGGTGGCTAGAAAGTTTGAGTATCACGAAGTAAATGGTACCCATCACGTGCATTTGAGTGAACCTGAAAAGATTGCGCCTATAATCATAAATTTTCTACAGAATTAATAATAATATTATTTATTTATTAATGGATATGGTTACTTAAGAAATAAATAGTTTTACTATAGATAGTTATTGTCAAACTCTTTCAAATCTAAAATGCTAATACAAATGCTAATAAAAGTTTACATTTCTGTTTAATGCACCTACATATACATGAATTGTTGAATTAGAAATGATTGTACAATGTCTATTGAACAATATTGGTATGTAGCGAATTTATAAATTAATTGAATAAATAAACTCATTATGTTGCTCTGCTATGTGAAAACAAAGTGCTTTGGAAGAACAATTAGAACAATAATGATGTGATAAGAAATAGATATTTGCATTGTAGATGTGGAATAAAAAACATCGAAATATGTTTATTATATGTCTCAAATTTCTTTAAGGCAGGAATCTTTGTCCATGTTAATTAGTGTCGCTTCTAATTGTGATAAATAAATAATTATGTGAATACTTGTGTAGTTAATTTCATTAAAAGAATGAATTTCGTCTTTTAAGAATTGACCAATATGTCATAAATGGGATCACTTATGCTAGTGGATTTGATTGCAATTATCCTTACACATTCTTGTGTATTATATAATCATTTATATATGTGTGTGTGTGTACACGCACTTCCGTATCGTGTTTAATTTATTGCTTGTGTATAATGTATGCATATGTATAAATTGTTAATTAGAAAAATAAATTTTAAAAAATTTGTTAAATAGAAAAAAAACTTTTTGTATTAATATATTCATAAAAAATACATTTGCTCCAAAAGACTTATTTCTTTTAAATTTGTTATATGTATTTAAATCACGGTTTTAATATGCTTCTATAATTTATTAGAGTTATTTTTAGATTTATTTACTATAATATTGACGAGAACAAAATAGATAAGCAAAAATAATCGAAAAATTTTTTATATAAGAAATGACATTATTAACAAAAAATAAAGCCATTCATCAAATAATAATAAAATGTAAAAAAAAATGAACAGAGTCATGAAATTAGCTGAAATCACAAATATAGAAGAATTCAATCGTTAATGTGATACATAATTTTATATTATTATACATAAACTATCCAACGTTTTTAACGTTGCTAAAAGAGTAACTTGGTAAAAATATTGTAAATATTTTTATTTAATCATTGAAGAATAATTTTTAATGTGTGAGCACAAAGAGTTGAATAAAAGTTTAATTATTTGAAAACGAGATATGATAGGCTATAGCTGTTAGATCATTTTTATAATCAAGGACGCACATATGTGTATTCCTCTTTTTACCTGTTTTTTTTTCCTTTTTGTCCTTTTTCCGTATGTAATAGGAAATTTGTATTATTAATGTAAGTTTTTGCTATAAATAAAAATTAAAAAATTAATATAAATATAAATATCTCACTTAGTCTACATATGTAGCAAGGACATGCAAGAAACATTTCAATGATACACGCTATTATTATTATTATTCAGTGAACGATAGCGGTAGCGATAACGCATCAATGCCCAATAGTTAGGTAGACAAATGCAACAAACTTGTACGCTATACTGGTTTAAGCTTCTGCAAACGGGCAAACAATAAATATAGTGAAACGCGATATTCTCTATCAATCCCATAAAACAAACTTCTTCAGTAGTTTAAAGGCGTGATCTACAATGTTCTAGATAGATAAATTTAATGTGTCATAAAATATGAGAGCTGCGAAATATATTTTGTATCATATGCAAAATCACAGAAAATTTGTACGAAGATTTCGATTTTAATTTGTGGATATATTCGTGGAGAATGTCGAGTAGAGTTTCTGACTAAACTGTATAAAAGAGATAGTATCCCTCAAGATAATGAGGCTGTTGATACAGATGTTTGCAGGCGTTACGATGGTCAGAGTAAAAAGTAAGAACATTATTTCGTTTATTCAGCTGCTATGCCACGTAGAAATACAAAATTATACCTTGTCTCATTTTACGTATGCCTCTCAGTCTTTCTAAATTTTCTGCTGTGCATAGAACATTCATATACATGTCGCTCGCACAAATTTCTAATATTCCTCTCTAATATATTTTGCGGGCGTAAGAAGGTAAGTAAAGTACAAGGACATGCGGCTACGATATAATTTGCATAAATTGCGCACTCTTTTTACAGTTCGAAAAGTTACACGAATATGAGGTCGACAATAAAGCACGTAGGAGCAAACTACGAATCTAATCTGCCAACAAATTTAACGGTCAAAAAGTCACGCCGGTAAAATAAATAGTCTATGAAGGTCAAGACTAGATTCGCGTTTGCGTCGTATATAAAAGACAGAAAGATGTTGTAAAATATATACAACTTCCCGGCAAATTATTGGCCTGAGCAGCTTCTTATCGGGCAGCTACTGAATACATGGCCGTCCTATCGTATGTGTGCACGTTGTGTGCGCCGGTAATTATCTGCAATGATAGCGCGCGGTCACACATAGAAAATAAATATGAATATAGCATATGCATGAAGACAGGTGGAAACCGTTCGCCACTTGTCTACGCATCTCCCTTATGCATAATTCCTCGAGAAGCTCTCTCGCACGGTGCCAAATAAAAAGATCCATCAATCCGCAAGGTATCATATGGTAAGCTTTCGGATAATCATCATGCAGTCTTTAAAAGGTAACGCATTGCCTATGTAAACGGGTCTCTTGTGAGACCTTTGAACGAGTAGATTATAGTGTAAATTAGATTCGTTAGATTTCAGTTTGCAGTTCGTATTTTGTTGGAAAGCAAAAAATCAACTGTGCGACCACGTTCGTGTAAAGTCGATTACGTCGTTGACATTATTACAATATTAGTGATGTAATTTATATCGCATGTGTGATAATAATTATTCGCGAGTAATGATAATATTATAGACTCGCGTAAGATGCGGACAAGTTGTTACAATATATATTTATTTTATTTGTCGTATTTTTATTTTACGTAAAAATAGCAGTTGTTTGCGGTAATTCGAATCGAAAGACAAAGTGCGCAAAAGTATAGACTGAAGATCTGAATTTACGAGATTAATAATTATGCTCACGTCTAATGGATCAGTTCTCTTGCTCTGTTTGAAGCACATGTTCGCAGTCGCTACATATGGATAGACACTTGATGATCAATCTGATTCATCGATCCTAACGATCAACAAACTTTTAATTTGCAAGTTTGTTCGTTCGGCTCGAGTTATCAGGTTGAATCAAAGATCACCGAGCATCGATCGTGAAAATAATGAGCTCATCAAGATTCCGTACTTTGCGTATTTCTACGAAGATGACTCCGATAAGTCGATGAAATCTGCTGCAATTCCGCATCGGTAGGCGTATAAGACGCGTAAGTTCTCAGACGTGCTCTAGACATCTCCAAATCCTGTCATAAAACAGCAAATGAGTTTTCAACTTCGTTTAAGTTGTATATATATACTAATTATATATTTTTAGTATACCTATCAAACAAAATATGTATACATATCATATATCATATTAAAAGCATCTGTGCTTCATAATATAAGTTTTTAAATTAAAAAATGTGTTTTAACATTCAGTGATAGCGCATGCTCACAAATATTTTTAAATTACGATAAACTTTCAATTTCGGCTAATGTAACAAAATAATAGATAACTGCTGAATAACAGTTTAGTAATCTATTAGTAAAATTAATACTATAGATCGCCAATGATTTGAGTTGTATATATCTGATACACTTTGCATATACATCTTTTATAAATTCTACATAAATTTAAAATTGTGTTACAAATAATTTTCTCACATACAAAGAATTTTTTCTTTCCATATAAAATACATATAGCAAACCTTTAGAAGAGTCTGATTACGAATACGAGATTTTTCCAAATTTATAAGAAGATTTGTCGACGATGATGAGTTAGAAACTTTGGAAACATCCTTATTACGAATTTCGCGACGTAATTTATTACTGCAAAATAAAGTAAAAAATAATGTTACTTGTGAAAAAGTACTCACACGTGCATATTTATATAACATATTAGCAAATATTAGATTTCAAGATATAAATACCGTTCTTCTATTTCTTGTTCAAATTGTTGTTCCCTTTGCAGGTACTCGTCAAAGACACTTTTAATATCAATACCGCTATTCCTTGCCATTTTGTGGAATCATTATAGCTCTTTATATACGGGAATAAAATTATCCGTATCCACTAATAACTAATATTTTTATAATTATAAAATTCGAGGAAATAAAGAACAGAAAGAAGCTATTTTATGCGTTTATATATTGGATGTATCGTAGATTGTATGGTTACTACGGCAACGTAATGCTCGTAAAAGCGATCGATATCTATATATATGCATGAATTATAACGCATAAAGCGATACAATCGCTTCCATTTAATCAAATTTATAAGAAGATTTGTCGACGATGTGTGTGATGAGTTAGAAACTTTGGAAACATCCTTATTACGAATTTCGCGACGTAATTTATTACTGCAAAATAAAGTAAAAAATAATGTTACTTGTGAAAAAGTACTCACACGTGCATATTTATATAACATATTAGCAAATATTAGATTTCAAGATATAAATACCGTTCTTCTATTTCTTGTTCAAATTGTTGTTCCCTTTGCAGGTACTCGTCAAAGACACTTTTAATATCAATACCGCTATTCCTTGCCATTTTGTGGAATCATTATAGCTCTTTATATACGGGAATAAAATTATCCGTATCCACTAATAACTAATATTTTTATAATTATAAAATTCGAGGAAATAAAGAACAGAAAGAAGCTATTTTATGCGTTTATATATTGGATGTATCGTAGATTGTATGGTTACTACGGCAACGTAATGCTCGTAAAAGCGATCGATATCTATATATATGCATGAATTATAACGCATAAAGCGATACAATCGCTTCCATTTAATAATATTTGTTAAAAATCTACAATATTTTAATCTCTTATAGAATTTAGAATATTTAAAGTTAAATAAAATAGCTTAAATAAGTTATACATTCAACAGGTATATATTCAATATATTCAAGACTCTAATAAATGTAATATCAGCTTATCAAAATGTATGCTTAATTTTATAATGCAGTTTGATCGAAAAGATATATTTCCTTTTTAAAAAAAGAAAAAAAAGAAAGTTCCAGTACCGAATTCGCTTATTCTCCTACAGACTGCGATTTCGGCTGCAAGAATATCATATATATGTATATTAACATAATACTATAATAAAGTAATTTTTTGTTATGTTGTTGTCACTTACCAGTATATATATATGACTCGGCAACGAACGTTCAACCACTTCTGATAATCGTCCTTTGCCCAATTTGTGTTCCTCATCTGTATGTTATAGGCGCGATATATAAAATAAATACAAATATATCAAGTTCAAGACAATGCAAAATTCTTAAATCACTTGATACACATTAAATGTCATTACCTGCAAGTGCAGTCAGTGATAATGTTGGAAGAGCAACAAAACCAGCGACTAGCGGTCGTAAGACCCAATCCACTTTTCGAACATTTTTAGGCGATATGTAAATATTAATCTAAAAACAAATACATAAAATAGAATTATTGTGTATATCAACTATAATATAAACGTGAATAGCATACTTGTTTTTGTCCAGCAAACATAAAGGCGTCGCTGCCTTCCATAGCCAAGCGCAAAGTAATGAGGTAATCGGAATGGTTTTTTATAAAATAAGAAATACAAAACGGCGTGCGAACCCATCCATGAGCTGGCATTTTGGCTTCTAATCCGATCACCGCATCTTCGACCCATAAAGGAGCTAGAGTTACGCTACTACTAGTTTCTAGCGCGGTTTCATCATTCGCTCTGCGAAAATAATAAACTTTATAAACATATTTCTATGTCATAAAAATCTTTTGCAGTCACTTTTACCTTTTCCATTTGATTGTATATATTCCAATACTAATAGGCTGTTCGCCACCTGTCTTTGGAATCAAGCAATAGGTGTCGGTTCCAGTTTCACCATCGCAGAGTTTGATATTCGCTAAAATGGACTTCTGATTGTCGAGATTGTTCTCTGTTTGGATAGAGTCCGCCTAATTTCGAGCACATAAATTCAACATTTCATTCAAATCTCCCCAACACAACTTGATTTTACAAATAATTAAATTATATATACTCTATGGACTTACCAATTCTATAGATGTGCTTAGAATATTTATAGGCCATGGAGAAACGCATGTAATATGAGGCATAATAATAAAGGGTTCATTAACAAATCCCTTTGTTAGTGGTTCAAATAATGTAGTATAAAATTGTGTTGCAACTTCAAATGGCTTCTTAACTGCCAACGAATACATTAATTCTTTACTCCCCTTTATTTGTTCAGGTCTACAGTAGTCTGCCTATGTATTACATAATTATAATAAATAATAAGAGCATATTATATTATGTTACACAGCATACATATATACATATATAATTACTTAATATATTGATTTATAAAAAAAAAATTAATGTATCTGTACCTTTATTATGATATTTCTATCGCCTACTTTATGTGCCCTAATGTGTACAATTTGTTTGATTGATGAATCTTTTGCCATATCACCAACAAAAATTGATACTTTTGACTCCTTACTAAGCATATTTATGCTTAATTCAGCTGAAATATATATTTTAGAATAGCCTAGTTTATATAGAAAAGAGTGATGATCAAACATTAAAAACATAAACCGTTAATTTATAAAAGAATAAAATATCATAAGATTGTGAAAACATACTCGATTGTTCATTATTACCCTCTGATACGAGTATTGCATGTAAACATATTGCGTTAACGTTCTCGTTAGCTAATAGAGATATCGTAATGGGTAGCCACTCGCCTAAAAGCGCAGGATTATTCGATTCTGCACTTAGATTTAAACTCGATTCTTCCTGCTTGATTTCCGCATGAATTAACGGCCTTATTGCCTCAAATTCGCCTCCACTAATATAAGAATTATGATCAGTTATTATCAAATGGCGTTAAAAGATTGCTAGAAATTGTTATTTATAAACATACCGAAGATGTTGTATTTCGGGATACAAACGATCCAATAGATTCGTTTCTCTACCTATAGCTGAGAATCTCAGTATAATACAACAGCGCGCACTATCACCCATTTGCAACGAGACTGTGCTGATACGAATTTCTGCACCATCATTTTGATGAGGCGCTTTAAAATTGAAGTAAAACTTTTTCGTTTCTTTTGCTTGAAAAATAAGATCGGATTGTTGACCATTACTAACTGGGATTTCAGTATTGTAACCTGGACCATTAACTGTTATCGACACGTTAGAAAATTCAATGATACCGCCGTAAGAATTTCTGTAATTATAGAGACATAAAAATTTTTTACATGCCCTATTATTCTTCGAAAAATATATTTCTAAATATAAATAGAATCAAATACTACCTTATTATAACTTCGACCGTTATCATTGCATTTACTGCATATGTTTGTTGCAAAAATCGCGCTTTAACATCGACAAATGATGTCATATTATTATCATCAATTGTAAAAATATTTGGCTCTGAGCGACTTAATTCTGACATCCATTTTTCCATTGCAAGATGCTTAATGTCCTCTGGCAAGTCTGATTCTGGAGTCGGTGGTTTTTTCTGTTATTAAGTATGAAATTTTTTCTGTTATTAAGTATAATAATT